TCAGTGGTCAAAACCCAGGCGCCATCAGGAGGTCCACCAGCAGGGCCAGAACTCCAGAAGCCCTCCCACTGTGGGCCCCCCAAGCACCAATTAATTAATTTAATTCTGCATTTCTCTTAACTGTTACTGTTTCTCAATTTTGCACTTGTAGAATTATATATCTCTCGTCTTCTGTAAGACCTGGGGAAGGAAGCCGAAATGAGTCAACAGCGGCTCTCCTTGTCTTGCAATTGCACTGCATCTTCTTTTTGCCTAGAGTCCCTAGAGGTCTCTTGGTGATTGGCTTCAAGCTGACTCACCCCTTTTGGAGGAGAGACCCCTCCTGCACAGCCCCGCTCCCTGGGAGTGAACCCCCTCCCACTTTGGGCAAGGCCTTTTATCCCTCCTTCCCGGGCACCGCCCTCTGCTCCTCTACTGGTGCAAGCTTTCCCTCCAGGTCCCCTGTTAGCCAATCACGGGGCTGAAAGGAGACCTGGGAAATGTAGGCCCTGAGAGCTACTCTAGTACAGGCTTCCCTGGAGCCACTAGGCCTCCCTAGAGTCTGTAGGCCGCACCACTATAGGCCTAGGAGCATGACCAGTGTTCCTTCTAAGGGAAATGTAGGCCCTGAGAGCTACTTTAGTACAGGCTTCCCCAGAGCCACTAGGCCTCCCTAGAGCCTGTAGGCCGCACCACTATAGGCCTAGGAGCATGACCAGTGTTCCCTCTAAGCTGAGTTAGTGCGAACTAGCTCACAGTTTTTTAGCCTCTGTCTCACTCATTTTTGTCTTCGCTCAGGAAAGATGGCTCCAGAGCAAACTAATTTATGCAGTAGTCAAATTGCTCGTTCACAGCTTTAATGCCGGTAGCTCACAAAGCAGAATTTTTCCTCGCAAGACACTACAGCTTAGAGGGAGCATTGCCGCTGGAGAATTATAGGATGGTGGTGTCTGTAGTCAAGAACGCCTTTGACAGGTGCTCAAGAATGTGAACAGCAAACAGGTCCTCTGGACGGCCAACAACAGTGAACAGTTAATGGAGGTTCCCCTCAGCCACCATGGCTAGAAGCCATTGATAGCCTTATCCTCCATTGTAATGTATCCAGTCCAGACAAGTCCAGAGACAACCGTCGAGCTTCGCTCCAAGAGACAATGGACTATACGGATCCTAGCCCACTCCAATCAGGGGGCTAGGTTCCCGGCCGAGAGCCTATGGGACTCTCGGCCAATGTTCCCTCTAAGCTGTGGGGTCTTGTGAGCAAAAATTCTACCGTGTGAGCTACTGGCATTAAAGTTGTGAGTGAGCGATTTGGCTGCTGCATAAATTAGTATGCTCTGGAGCCCTCCTTCCTGAGCTAAGACAAAAATGTGTCAGCTGGAGGCTTAAAAACTGTGAGCTAGCTCACACTAACTCAGCTTAGAGGGAACACTGCTCTCGGCCACTGTAAATAACCTATAGGGGTGTTTTGCGTGGCGGTTTCTCGGAGATATAAGCCGGCCTGCAAGCTGGCCAAAGTCGTCTTGTTCCGGATAGAATAAAGTACGCTTTGCTGAAATCACTCTCTGTTTGCATGCTTTCCATCCATGAATCTATCTAATCTCCTTTTAAAGCTGTTTATCCCCATAGCCGTCACTACATCCTCCAGCAGTGAATGCCATATTTTCATCACTCTTGATGTAAAGTAGTATTTCCTCTGTCTGTCCTGAACCTACTGCCCATCGGCTTCATTGGACGCCCTTGAGTTCTAGTATTTTGGGAGAGGGAGAAAAATTTCTCTTTGTCCACTCTCTCCACCCCAGGCATAATTTTATAAACCTTTATCATGTCCCCCTTTAGTCATCTCATTTCTAAACTGAAAAGTCCCAGATTCTTTCCTCGTAGGGAAGGTGCCTCCAACCCCCGTCATCATCTTGGTCACTTTTCTCTGCACTTTTTCCATCTCTGCAATGTCCTTTTGGAGATATGGTGACCAGGACTGTACACAGTATTCCAAATGAGGCCACATCATACATCTATACAGAGACATTATAACATTGGTTATTTTATGTTCAATCCATTTTATGTTAAATCCCTTTCCTTATTTATTCATTTATTTATTTTCAATTTATATCCCGCCTTGTGTCAGCTATGCTGCCATGGGGGTGGGGGAGTTCATTCTGTGTCTGGTTAATTGCTATTGCATTCCTATCTCTGCTGTTCTGCCTGTGCTGAAATGCTTATCTCTACAGATGTGCGGGAGGAGGTTGTATTGTCTGGAAGTCTCCTATGTACCGTGAGAGACTCCTGGTTCCCAGCTTTCGCCACCTAACGGCTTGCATATGTTAATTAGGCGATTGTATAAAAGCTGCATGTAACCACAGAACTACGAAGCCCTTGGCCTGAGTTTCTGACCTCAGGTCGGAGTCTCTGATCTCAGGCTGGGTTTCCCTGATGTACAGCAGATAAAGATCTTTAAAAAACCTCCACTTTGATTTTCTGCCTGATTTCTCCGTGGGGCAAAAGTTATTGCCCTGGGCCAAAAGTTATTGTCCCTAACCCACTGCATCCTCAAGAACTTTTCCCCACTCAGTCTCAGCAAGTTAAGACCCCGTTAGCCTATCCTTGAAGGCGGGGTTTTTTTTTGTCCCAGTGTGCACCACCTTACACTTACCTACATTGGATTTCATTTGCCACATAAGAACATAAGAACATAAGAGATGCCAATGTTGGATCAGGCCAAAGGCCCATCCAGTCCAACACTCTGTATCCCACAGTGGCCAGAAATACCAGTGCCATCAGGAGGTCCACCAGTGGGGCCAGGACATTAGAAGCCCTCCCACTGTTGACCCCCCCCAAGCACCAAGATGACAGAGCATCACTTGCCCCAGAGTCCCTATCTATACCTTGTGGCTAATAGCCACTGATGGACCTCTGCTCCATATGCTTATCTAATTCCCTTTTGAAGCCGTCCATGCTTGTAGCACCCACCACTTCCTGTGGCAGTGAATTCCAAGTGTTAATCACTCTTTGGGTGAAGAAGGACGTCCTTCGTCAATATCTATAATGAGAAGTAATAGAGCCTGCTTTTAGAAGCTAGAAAGTAGAACACACTCAGAATGAACTCTGTTGTAAAAAAGTTCATTTGTAGAAAATAAGCTTACACAGCAGAAGGCAGGATGCAGTCCATCACAAGGTAGAACATATTTGTTGATAAGGATAGCAAACCAGGAGATAACACACAGCTGCTCTTGTCAGGGGAGGATCGGATAAGACATACCATCCCAATTATACTTGAGGATGGAAATCACCTGGTTTTCACTACAATGTATAACTAATTGGGAGGAAGCATGTACATGTTCCCTGGAAGGCCAGATAATGAAAATGAAGCTCAAATACTTTGGTCACCAAATGAGAAGGGAGCACTCACTGGAGAAGACCCTGATGCTGGGAAAGATTGAAGGTCAAAGAAGACGGGGACAGCAAAGGATGAGATGGTTGGACAGTGTCATCGATGCAACGAACATGAAACTGAGCAAACTTCAGAGGACAGCGGAAGACAGGAGGGCCTGGCGGGATCTAGTCCATGGGGTCGCGAAGAGTCGGACTCGACTGTGCGACTGAACAACAACAACAACAACATGTACATAAATGGAATTAAAACAAACCAATGCGGGACTAGGGAGAAGAGGTGTGCGAGGAGATTGTAAGCTTGTGGTTGACCAATCAACTAACAAACAGGGACTTTTTGCATTCGTGAAAGAGTCTCTGATCTCAGGCTGGGTTTCCCTGATGCACATCAGATAAAGATCTTTTAAAAACCTCCACTTTGATTTTCTGCCTGATTTCTTTGTGGGGCAAAAGTTATTGCCCGGGGCCAAACGTTATTGTCCCTAACACACTGCATCCTCAAGATCTTTTTCCCACTCAGTCTCAGCAAGTTCAGACCCCGTTAGCCTATCCTTGAAGGTGGTGGTGGTGGTGGGTTGTCCCAGTGTGCACCACCTTACGCTTTCCTACACTGAATTTCATTTGCCACATTGTCGCCCAGTTTGTGGAGGGGCCTCTTGGAGCTCTTCTCACGTTCCAATGAAATCATTTCAAGCATTAATCTGGTTCATACTTCAACACATTTTATTGTTCCCCTGTTAGAGGAGGGCAGGGAGCTGTTCCTGTGGGCAGCAGAGGAAAGGACTCGCAAGAATGGGTTTAAATCAAGGGTGGAAAGGTACCAGCTGGATCTTAGGGAAAAAATTGTTGACAGTAAGAGTTGTTTAACAGCTCCCCCTCCCTGGCATTCTTT